TCTCTTCTCAAGAACACTCAGAAGGATTGAATACACTGATTGAAGATATCCATTATGGAGAGAACATGGGGGTTTTTATAGCCTGCCCCCCCCCTTCTTTTTTTTCTTCCTTCCCTTTTTGACTCTTGCTCCCTGTCATTTTTTCTTTCTTCCTTTATTTTCTTTTAAACACTTGCTCCCTTACCTTTCGGTAGTTGTCTTTGTTGACAGGAGCAGCCACCTATTGGAGCACGTGATGTGGGGGCCACTGTGTTACTCATGAAGAGATAGCATGATAAAACAAAACGTGTAAAGTGAAAGTTAAGGTCCAGCGGACAAAAAAAAGTGCAAGTGGGCCTTGAATTTCGTCCATGTGATATACAACCGCATCCATGTTTCAGCTATATATAGAAACGAGCACTGTTCCTAGGGTTTGGTGCAAGTTGAGGGCTTTTCGGCTGCAGTTGATTTTATTTTGAGCAGAGAAAGAAAGCGGTGGATTTGTGAGCATGCAAGCGTGCAGGAGCAAAAGGGAGACTTTCTTCTTGGCGGCTGCAGCAAAAGGGGTGCAGAGGCTGTGAAAAAGGCAGAGGCAACGTGCAAAGGTGCAGAGCTTAGTGCAGAGAGATAAAAGCTTTGGAGGCTGACCTTTTCTTGAGAAGAAAAGCAAGGAGCCTATTTGAGGGTTTAGATTGTGAGAGTTGTAAACCCATTTGTATTCTTTTTCTCTAATAGTAGATCTCCCCCCTCCTTATCCCGTGAACGTAGGCAATTTACCGAACCACGTAAAACTTATGTGATTTGTGTTTGTGGCAATTGTAATAGTTTATTAGGGTCCCTCGATAAGTCAGTCCTAGAACTGATGAGAGGAAGAGCCGATATCTTACTTTGTTGAGATATTCGCTTTATATTCTTGTTTCCTTGGTGAGACGGGAATTCTTATTGATCTTTCTCTCTTATTGTGCACCAGAAACTCTGCTAAAATTTTCGCTGCGCACAACAAGTGGTATCAGAGCCCAGATTCCAGATCTAGGGTTTGGTTGGAAGAGTAGATCAATTTGGAGGCTCGTCTAGGGCTTCGTTTGGTGATAAAGGTGGGATCTTTTGGTAAAGATTCTATCTTTTTAGTTTTATATCTATTCTTTATTCGTTGGTGCGTTGTGAAAGGATATCGGGGAAAGAAGGTGCTTCGGGTGTCGAGGGTGGTGCTTCTGGCGTGAAGACCATTCAGAGTTTGAATATCCACTCTATGAAGATAGATGTGGAGAAGTTTAATGTCACAAATAATTTTGGATTATGGAGATGCGAGGTTTTGGATGCGCTGAACGCGCAGAATTTGGAGGATACCTTGGAGTTAGATGGCAAGCCATATGATATTGAAGAGAAGGTTTGAAAGAAGATGAATCAAATAGCGTGTGGTGTGATTAGGTCTTGTTTGACTCAAGATCTAAAATATGATGTGATGAATGAGACTTTTGCGAAGAAGATTTGGGAGATTCTCGAAAGCAAGTATCTGACAAAGAGTATTGAGAATCGCTTGCATTTGAAGAGGAGACTTTATCATTTCCAGTTGAAGAAGGGAACCTCAATTAGAGATCACATGAACACCTACACAAAGCTTCTTGCGGATTTGGCGAATGTGGATGTCATGATTGAAGATGAGGACAAGGCGTTGTTGTTATTAAGTTCCTTGCCCGACGAGGAATATGAGACTTACGTCCTTACTCTGATTAATGGGACACCTCTTTCGTATAGTGAGGTCACTGCTGCACTAGTGAATTATCAGCTTCGGAAGAAAGATAAGAAGACTTCAACTGAGTCGGTAGCAGAGGCGTTGGCCGCAAGAGGGAAGGGTCCAAACCGAAAGAATTAGAAGTCACAGTCTGGAGTAGGACATCCTACAATTGAAAAAGATCATTGTGTTTGGTGCAAGGAGACTAGTCATTGGAAGAAAGACTGCCCAAAGCTCGACGAATGGATGAAGAATAAGCAGAAGGAAAAAAGAAAGCAACCATCATCAGAAGCAAACATCGTATCGGATGGTAATATTTCTGACTCTTCTATTTATTCGCTTTCTATCAGTCCTACATATAGCTATTCGGAGGAATCCGAGTGGATGTTGGATAGTGGTGCGACCTATCATGTGTGCCCTAGAAGGGAATGGTTCTCCAGTTTTGTAAAGCTGGATAGTGATGTGGTGTACATGACTGATAACCGTGCATGCCAGATCCTTAGGATAGGAAGAATTCGCATCAAAATGTTTGACGGGACTGTTAGGGAGTTAAATAATGTGAGATATGTTTCTTCTTTGAGGAAGAACTTGATCTCGATTAGAGCTTTGGTTAGAGAGGGTCTAAATATTAGAATTGAGGACTAGTTCTCAAGTTTGTGAAAGACTCTTGGATTATGATGAAGGACGTCAGGAGGAATAACCTGTATTACTTGACTGGATGTATAGTGACAGGTGGAGAACTGACGACTTCTATTGATTCGACTAGACTGTGACATTTGGGGCTTGGCCATTCCAGTATTGATTCCTCGCATATATTGAAAGAGGGTGCGAAGACCTGCAGTTTGAAGTCCAGTGAACATGTTGATGTGAGCAAGAAGACCGATGTGAAGTTTGGCACCTCTATTCACCGTGCTAAGGTTCGTTCTAGAGGAGTTCACGTGGATGTTTGGGGGCCTTCCAAGGGAGCATCATTGGGAGGTAATAGGTGTTTGGTTTCCTTTGTTGGTGACTGTTCTAGGCGTGTTTGGGTTACAACCAAATCCCCTATGGATAAAGTCCTAGTAGTCTCTAACAGTTTGAAGAAGTGTAAGATGGACAGAAAGGTGAAGATACTTCATTCTGATTTTGATGGAAGGTACAAGATGGACCTGTTTCTGTATTGGAGCCGAGCTCACGGCATTTTAGGTCACTTCGTTGGAAAGGAAATCTTGGGGCAACTAGATAGGGTGACAAATTTGGAGAACCGTGCCTTGTTGGAGGAGGATCGGTGTTTGTTGTCAAGCAATAGTCTGCAGAAGAGTTTCTAGACTGAGGCTTTGATATATTCAAGCCATATTATTAAAGAGTTGTCAACTGCTGTGATAGGAGGTAAAACTCAATTGGGTGTTTGGTCTGGTAGTGTCACTTCGGTTGAGGCTTCGATGAGGGATCTATTTGATTCTCAGCAGGTGGAGAGTTTTGGACAGACCTTAGATATATCACAGCGGGTGGAGATGGATGCTACTTCATATTGGGTGAAGACTACTCCATATCATACTGTATTGTTTGGGATTCCAGTTAAGGTGGCACAGCTTAGGGATCATTTGGATTCGGATGCAGATGATAGGTTGATTGATTCGAGTGCAGCTGGCAGACATGGTTTGGATATGGCCATTGGTTCGCCTCAGGTGAAGGTGTTTGAGGCCATTGGAGGTGCTATCAGCCGTAAAGTTGATGATATTTGAGAAGGGTTGCGAACTCTTCTATTGGATTAAGGTCGTTCGCGGCCATTTGGGTGAACTACGTTCGGCTTGATTTTTTGGGCAAGAGGATACGTAGGCAGTCTTATGATGCAGCCAGGTTGGATTATTTGATGGGGGTGAGATCGATTTATGAGTTGATACCGACATTTGGAGAGTGTTTGCATTCTCATTTGGGTTCTCGACTTGTTGTGGATTGAGTCCGTTGTCGTGAATCGTTTACTTCGTACTGGACACAACAAGTAGGACATTTGGATGCTTTGGTGTCGGCTCAGTTTTGGGAAAACTTCACCGAGGTGAAGAATTGTTGGAGCACGTGATGTGGGGGCCACTGTGTTACTCGTGAAGAGATAGCATGGTAAAAACAAAATGCGTAAAGTGAAAGTTAAGGTCCAGCGGACAAAAAAAAATGCAAGTGGGCCTTGAATTTCGTCTGTGTGATGTACAACCGCATCCATGTTTCGGCTATATATAGGAACGAGCACTGTTCCTAGGGTTTGGTGCAAGTTGAGGGCTTTTCGGCTGCAACTGATTTTATTTTGAGCAGAGAAAGAAAGCGGTGGATTTGTGAGCGTGCAAGCGTGCAGGAGCAAAAGGGAGACTTTCTTCTTGGCGTCTGCAGCAAAAGGGGTGCAGAGGCTGTGAAAAAGGCAGAGGCAGCGTGCAAAGGTGCAGAGCTTCGTGCAGAGAGATAAAAGCTTTGGAGGCTGACCTTTTCTTGAGAAGAAAAGCAAGGAGCCTATTTGAGGGTTTAGATTGTGAGAGTTGTAAACCCATTTGTATTCTTTTTCTCTAATAGTAGATCCCCCCCCCCCTCCTTGCCCCGTGGACGTAGGCAATTTGCCGAATCACGCAAAACTTGTGTGATTTGTGTTTGTGGCCATTGTAATAGTTTATTAGGGTCCCTCGACAAGTCAGTCGTAGAACTAATGAGAGGAAGAGCCGATACCTTACTTTGTTGAGATATTTGCTTCAGATTCTTATTTCCTTGGTGAGACGGGAATTCTTATTAATCTTTCTCTTTTATTGTGTACCAGAAACTCAGTCGAAATTTCCGATGCGCTCAACACCACCAATCTTGACAGACTCCATTCCCTAAGGAAATAACGACGGCAAAATAGAGGCATAATAGATAATTTGTTTAACTCCTTGGTTGTAGAGGTCCGTGGGTAAGTTTTACTGAAAAATGGAAAAAAAAACATACGTACATCTTCCTTTGGTTAACCTTCACATATTAGAAGTATGATGAATGGAGATTGATTTAAAAAAGAAAAGAAATTTGGGAATGGTAATTATCATGAAATATCATTGTCCTCTAAAACGTTCATGTGCCTAATTAATAATGTGAGAAATAAAAAATGAGTTTTATTTTCAATAAAATATAAAAAAATGGATGACAATGCCATCTGCCACGTCAAACTTCCACACTTCCGCTTTTAGCTTGTCAAAGAAAATCTTCAAAACCGAAGAAAAATTATTTTCTTAATAAGATTTTTTTTTCTTTACTTTCTATTTACTTTCGAGTTGCTAATTAAACATGTTGCCGCGCCCTCTTCGGCTCACAAACTATTTGTAAAGACAAAAATAAGCATAGAGTGAAAAAAAATTTTGCATCCGACAAAATTCAATATTTTTGCTGCTATGGATTCAAATTCGAATAATCAACCATCTTACGCTCTTCTTCCTCAATTGTATCACTTATTTCACTCCCCCTAGTCTCCGGCAAATAGGCCGCAAACATCCCACAACATCCGATCACCAAGCCAAACACTCCAAACGACAAGAATTTTCTCTTCCTCCCTTCCGCCACTAGCAATGGCGCAAAAACTCCACCAAATACAAGCGCCTGCCTAACCATCGAGATCCCAGAGTTCCTCACACAAGTCGGAAACAACTCCACACTATAAATTATCAGCACATTGAGCGCACCAACCGTGCTAAAGAAGGAGACTACCTCAATCCCCATCTGCCATCCTCCGGAGGTCAAGAACACACACGCAACACTGGTCACGCCACTTATCACTGTTAAGACTAGTATAGAATATCTTCGACTGATTCGGTTGATGAGGAAGAAGGCGAGTAAAGAGGAAGGAAGTTCAGCAAAGGCGTTTAGTGTGGTGCTTAGATACAGATTGGAGCTTAGATTGCCTACATTCAGTGGCATACCGTAGTACATTATACCAACTCCGAAGGCTACTATCATGACCGCGGTTAGCCGCTTGAGTGCCCATTTCTTTTCCAATAGTATCTTCAACGCCGAAAACACATCAACATTCCATTTTTCTTCAGTGATCGATAGATTTGAGAAGCTAGTGTCGATGGTACATCCATTAGATTTAGCGATACGTTTAAGGATGTCGATAGCTTCGTCCTTTCGTCCACGAATGAAAAGCCATCTCGGGGATTCATCTATCACAAAATAAATCAGAATGGTGTAGCATAAAGAAGGAACAAAAGTCCACAGATATATGTTTCTCCAAGATGAGTCCCTGTTGAAATAAGCAATGGCAGGGAGAGACAAGAATCCGGCACCAAAGGCAATGAATCCAATAATACTAATCCGATCACGCCATACTTTTCCAACCATCTCGGTCGACAGCACGAGAGCGCTGGTACCGACGGTCGCCCGTCCAAGCCCACAGATGAACCGGAGGGCCGAATAGACCCACACATTAGGCGATGCCGCAGACAAGCCGGCTGCTAGAGACATCGTGAGGCAGGAAAAAACGAGCATTTTCTTTCGGCCTAGTCGAGAATCAGCCAGCGTTGCAAGCAAAAGATCGCCGACAAGACATCCGATAAAGTATGAAGATGCAGGCAAACCAATGAGCGATGGTGGAGAGCACTGAAGGCTCCATTCGGAGATGACGGATGCGTGCTTAGGTTGGTCCCACGACCATGAGCCTTCGGGCAAGCCGCACGGGCCAGCAGCAGACGAGCACGATGAATCGTTCTTGTGGGTGCAGTGCCATGACGGACCCATGTCAGTGACTACATTGATGAAGGTTTGTTGTGCGTCGAAAATCCATGCCATCACCACAAGGATTGCCTATATAAGATCGGCTACAAAAATTGTTTGATTCCTTGTAAATGTAATTGAATTATTCAATTTAATTTTAATTGAGGAAAAACAATTACCTGCAGAAGCTGGCAGAAGCCTGTAGAGCCGATGCAGCTCTCAATAACGTCCTCGATGGTCGATGGTTTCTTCGCGAGTAGAGGAGCTTGATCACCCATTTTTTGAGCTCGAGACTGAGATAGAGAAGAAAGGGATCAGTTTATAGGAGGGGTGAGCATAGTTCGGTTCAAACCGAACAAACCGACCAAACCGGTCGAAATTTAACAATTTGGTTTTTATTAGAGTTCAGTTCTGATCGGGTTGAAGTTTTTCCAACCCGAACCGACCGAACCGACCGAATTGTATTACCCATTCTAATTACTATTTACATCCGCTTAAACCCGACCCATTATAGTTCATATAGAGTTACTTCTCTGCAGCTTGATATATTTTTCTCTCATGCGACCTGATAGAGATAAAATACCCCAACAATAGTATCATCTCCAATTCTAGGGCTTTTCATTATCTCTAGTTCTCTATCCCTCATATTCCTTATTCTACTTTGGACCAATCCACTTTGGAGTTAAGAAACTTAAGTCATAATGTTGATTCTAACATTTTCCTGATTTTTCTCCTCGATTGATACACTTTTAGATCAAACTTCTCTTTGGATCAGACATATAATTTTATAGAAACTATACCTAACATCCAAGTTATTACATATTTTTTTGTCCATCAGATTGAGATCACTTTAATTTTTTATGTAAGTTTTCTCTAAAAAAAATTTGTGTAATCTTTGATAGGAATAAGATTTTGATTTCTACATCTAATATTTAGTAGCATTTAATAGTTTATGCATTTTAATAAATTGAAGTGTAAGAAACTTCTTTTTTCGTCAACAGACAAGAGGTGAAATTGAATTTGGACATAATATTTGTACCTAAGTGAAAACCAAGCAAACCGATCCGAACTGAACCGAACCGACTTGAATCGGTTTGCTTCAGTTTTGAATGATAGGCAGTTCGATTCGGTTTGACCAAATTTGACCAAAAACCGAATCGACCGCGATTGCACAACCCTATAAACTAATTTATAGTAACTTAAAGAGAGTGATTTCTTGGGATTGTTTGGAAAGTGAGAGGGGGGCAGAGGATGAGGGCGCAAAATGAGGAAATTGTTTGTTGGATTTGTGATTGTAATGAGTTGGCGTTGGATGTAACGAAATTAATTAATTATTGTCGATCATCTTGGATGTAATGAAATTTTTTGACCCGAATAATTTACTCTAGAAATGGAATCATGTATATCGCAATATTAACCATTGATTTATTTATTTATTTATTTGGATAATACTGCATGTACTAATCTTATGCTGCTTTTGTACTTGAAGAAAAAAATAGGGAGATCTTGTTGTTGAGAACCTTCAATTTCTGTCTAGCTATCACTATTGTGTTTTTGTTTATGGCTTGAAAAGGGGGAATGGAGGTTAAATTCACAAGTGAACCTTGAATTTCAGAGGTTTTGCACAAATCCTCTAATTTATGAATCTATACTTCCTCCAAACTAATAAAATTCTACTAGACCATCTTGAACTACTGAATAATCTTGCAAAAGTCGTTTTTCTTGGATATCGGTAAACTATTTATTTACTTATATGATAACACCATAAAGAAGGTTAGTTAACATTATAGACTAATAATTTTGAATTATGACGACCCAAAATTTGGGATGAAAACTTTGCCAAAGGGAGCCGTATATGCCGATCGACTAGGACTTGCCACTGAGCACTACAACTAAAATAATGTGGAATTGGGACTGTGCAAGGTGTTAGGTTATGTACAGAGAAACATTAGAGATTGCCGACGCATGATACAGCTCATTGTTTGCAACTAGTTCATTGACTTAAATTGCATCGTGCTCTTGTCGTCTATATTATACAAGCATGTGTATATGCTCAAACAACATGTGGACTGATGGCATTCTCTGCCCTCTGGTCATCTTTCTTCATGAGTCTAACCTAACACATTGCAATTTGCTAGCACGCATAAGAGATTACTAGCTACCACGTGTGGTACCATTGGATATTAATTGGTAATTATTTCCAAAATTGATTGATTTGAGAGTTAGTTTTGTAAATAATATGATTTGGATGATATCTTTGCAAATACCCATGATTTAAGGGATATATATACAAACAACCTTTTGCCCTTTTTGTTGTGCACGCGTTTGATTGATTTTTTTTTTTAAAGCGGACTTTCATGATTTGGTTCTCTGTTTGCTATTGGGAAGCAGGCAATGTTTTCTCCTTGTCAGTTGTCAGCACATACTCGTATAGAATCTTCGTAGTGTAAGGTCTTTTGCGAGACGAGCTAAGGATTCTCCTTTTTAAGTGTCCCTCTTTTTAAATATCATGATCATACTCCCTTTAAAAGTACGAGTTCGAGAAAATCTTTTCATGGTCAATATTACCCTTAATTTTTTTTGAATATTACGTTGTTATCCTAATTAATCTATTCTAATTATCCTATTTTCTTTGAATTGGTAATTAAATGATTTATCATATTCATAATAAGATTTAAGATGTTATTGGATAAAGGAGATACATTTGATATAATTCAAATCATTTACTTATTTTAGTTCGCAAAGAAATCTAAAAAACATGTGCTAGCCAGCACCTAAAAGTTTTTTAACTTTATAAAAAATATCCTCTAAGTTTTTTAAATTGCAAAAACATCCCTACAAATTCAAAATTTTATTAAACATCTTGAAAATTATAAATTTTACTTATTTCAATTTAGTAAGAAGTCTAAAAAATATATGCTAGCTAGCAACTAAACGTTTTTTAACTTTATAAAAAATATATTATAAGTTTTAAAAATTACAGAAACACCCCTAAAAATTCAAAATTTATAAAAAACACATTAAATATTTCAAACATATAAACACATTAAAAACCGACAAATAAAACAAAAACCCCCAAAATTTATGGAATTTACAATAAACACTCTGAACTTTTTATAAATTATAAATAAAACTCCCAAAATTATAAAATTTATAAAAATCCTGATAATTTCTAACTCAACAGTACATTGAAAATATAGGAATTATAAATATCCCTTATATAATTTATAATTTAATAAAACACCCTTAAAGTTTTAAAAATTATAAACAAACCCTCAAAATTCAAATGTTATAAAAAACACCCTGAGAATTTCAAACTCATTAGTAAATTAAAAACATTAGAATTATAAATAGTCTATAAACAATTTACAATCTGTAGAAAAGGTGTATAAGTTTAAAAAATTACAAAAAAACCCCTAAAATTCATAATTTACAAAAAAACACCATGAGAATTTCTAACCTATAGACACTAAAATTGTGACGCCCCTGGGTTCACACAAGGCTACAGTCCAAGGTGAAACCAAGAATGTCAAACCTGCCATGCACCACACCGTGCAATAACATGTTTTACCATCACAATTACTATATCTCTAGTAGAGTCAATAACAGGTGTAGGTATAAAAACAAATAAAAGATAATACAAGAGTCAACTGATGAAATAATAGAGATCAAATTAGTATTTCATCATCTAACATACTGAAGTACAAGTCAATGTCTGAAATGAATAAACTAGAACTCCTCAACAAATCTCAAATACAAATGTTTGAATAAAAAGAAATAAGGCACACAGCCTTTACAACTTCTAGAATAAACTCTCAAATATCTAACAAAAGTCTACAGTGGAGTTCAAAAGAAAAATATAACTATAATTAACGGCTGAAGCTAAAGTGTGTCGCCATCAACCCGCGACTCTCCGGGATCCTGGCTCGTTACCTGAAAGGGGGAGGTGTTAGGAATCTTGACCCCAAGATTAGTTTATTTTGATGATAACAAATATTATATATTGTGTGTATTATGTGCTAACATTTGTTTTACAGTATTAGAGCTATATCAATAATTATATTCAAATAGATACTCAAGACATAGATGAGTTCAAGGCAAAATGAAGCAAAGAAGAAGATATACTTTATTGTCAAAATGTAATTTTATATTTTCTTTGCTTAGAAATTTGTACAAGCCTTGATCACTCACACACATGCACACACATAGTGTTAGAACACACTAACACATGCTTAGTGTGTTGGTTAATAATAGAAATCCCCTATGTTAACCATTAGAGTTTATAAATATTAGGTGAGTCTTAAAACATTTTATTTACACCCTTAGCAATTAGAATCTGGAAAAACTCAAAAGATTAAAGTTGTAGGTCTCTTCAAGAGATTTCCAACAAATCTGAAATCACCTCATTCCGATATCGGATGAGAAAGTTACAGTAAAAATACTAAACAGAAAAATTCCAGAATCTGAGTTTACAGTGTAGTCGACTACTATGCCTTGTAGTCAACTACTAAGCAATTTTCTGACTTCACAGAGTCTATTTAGTCTCAGTGTAGTCGACTACTATGACTTGTAGTCGACTACAGATGAGATTGGGTGGCAATTGGCGTGGTCTTGTCAATTGGTGTTGCAATTTGCATGGTCTTGCAAATTGGTCAGGTTTGCTTTTGATTTTGTAAGGTTTCAAAATCATAGTGGAAATCTCAAGCGGGATTTGCTTGGGGACTGGATGTACACCGGGGAGGTGGAACCAGTATACATGCTTGTGTTTGTGATGTTCATTTTCTGAGATTGCCATTCTTTCTTTGCAATTTATAATATACTTTGCAAACTCACCCTCTAGTGTTTAAGTGTAAATCTTCCGCAGATTTTTATAAGAGCACACTCTATTCTTAAGGGTCACGATCCTACACTTGGTATACATAAGTAAAATCAGACCCCACATTTGGTATCAGAGCAAGGTGAAAGATGGCATCAATAAATACATCACAATTCAAAGAGGGATATTCCACACAGCGACCACCTCTATTCGATGGCACGAACTACAACTATTGGAAGTGTCGGATGAAGATCTACCTCCAATCTCTTGGCTATGACCTTTGGAACATTGTAGAGACCGAATTCACAAAGCCAACCACTCCATATACCGAATGGTCAGTTGTTCAAAGGACTAAAGTGATTTTGGACTCAAAAGTAATGAATGCACTATTTTGTGCTTTGGACAAGAACGAGTTCAATCGCGTGTCTACTTGCAATTCAGCCCATCA